CAGTTTAGTTAATCGTGTCGTGTTTAGGTTGAGGGGTTCAACCCGTGTAACCCGTTTATACACGTTTAACTATATATGTAGTAAATAAATTTCGATTTAAGTTCTAAAATTACTATATAAACTTGTGTCTTATAATTTAATCTTTTGTAAATTAGAAACTTTTTTAGTAATTTGGTTAATTAAAACTTATATTTTTTTTAGTATTTATTATTTTATTGAGTATTACTAATAATTTAAATAATATAATTTTTTTTTTTTGGTAAATAGGTCGTTAAACGGGTTACACGTGTAACCCGTTTAATAAACAGGTTGGGTTAGTATTGAGAATTCTTGACACGATTATTAAACGGGTCATGTTCGGATTGAGCTGTTTAGTATAATATCTTAAAATTGACACGACACGATTACGACCCGCGAACACGAATTGTCACCCCTAGAGAAGACCCTTTGATTTATTAATAGAATTTGTGGTGTTTTTGGAGTTTTTTATTGTCATGTGATAGATTTTGGCAGATTTAGGGTCCTCGACTGTTAATTCTCTTGGCTCAAGTTCTGTAGGTGGTGGTGGCATTTTTACCACCAACTCATCAGAAAATCCAGGACTTCAAATCAGCACAGTGAAGTTGGATGGTTCCAACTATTTGATTTAGGCACAGTCTGCCAAAATGTTCATTGATGGCAAAGATAAGATTGGCTATATTACTGGTTCTGAGAAAGAGCCAGCTGAGTCAGAGAAGGCATATCCACAGTGGTTTACAGATAATGCTATGGTTATGTCTTGGCTAGTTAATTCGATGCAACCAAACATAGTTGTTGGCTATATGCAACCAAACATAGTTAGGAGCCTTGTACCGCTAGGCCACAGGCCTATTGGTGAGATATCATATTATGATTCCTTCCACTCTTGGAAGGATCCAGATGATGCAGTTTTATATGCAGGGATTGTGGAGAAGAATTAAGTGTTTCAGTTTCTTGCCGGGTTGAACAACGAGTTTGAGTATGCTGGTGTTCATTTATTGGGCTTATCTTCATTCCCTAATCTTGAGGATGCATACTCTTATGTGTTATCAGATCAGAGCCGTCGGACTCATCCATTAGGTGTTGCTTCTGTTGATCATTCTGCTATGGTAGTTCGGTTCCCAACCTTTCAGGAACTGCACCATCCCAGTTAATTTAGAGCTCTACCACCGGTCCTCCTCTGGGACTACAACGCGGATAGTATGACCATTGCGGAAAAATTGGTCACATCAAATCTCGTTGTTATGCTCTACTTAGACGCCCACCGCAACAGAAACAACAGCCTCGATCCTGCACATTCTGTTACACAACCAGTCTCGTTGTTAACTCCTAACAACTCTACCTCTACATCTTCTGCCACAGTTATCTTGACTCAAGCTGATTAGCATAAGTTCAAACAATTCTTCAACCAAATGGAGGCATCATCTCAGCCAACCTCCACCTATGCCCACTCAGGTACTATTGCGTCAGCAAATAGCGTTTCTACATCTTTGACACCATGGATCATTGATTCTGGTGCTTCAAACAATATGACTGGTATGTCCTCATTCCTCTAATTTTATAGTATCCGCTCGCAAGGTACGCCTTGCGGATGGCTCCCCATCTTCTATTGCTAGGAAGGGTCACATGTCAGTTACTCCTTTATTAACTTTGTCAGTTACACTTCATGTTCCACAGTTGACTACAAATCTTATTTCTGTTAGTAGCGTTACCAAAAATTAAATTGTAGTGCAACATTCTTTCCCTCTCATTGTATTTTTCATGATTTGGTGTCGAAACGGACGATTAGAAGTGGGCGTGAAGTTGACAGTCTATACCTGTTGGATGCTCCTTTGTCACCTAAAGCACATTCAGCTTCATTTTCTAATTTTGTTTCATCTAATAAAGCCCAGCTTATACATTGGCACATGCGTTTAGGACATATTTCTTATGGTTATTTAAAACATTTATTTCCTTCCTTATTTTGTAATGTGGCAGTGTCAGATTTATCCTGTGAGACATATCATAATGCTAACAAGGACCCCACACATCATAATGAACAAGCTGCAAAGGAGATATACTTTTATTAATACTAATAGGATAAGAAACACGACATTGTTTAGCAAGAACACATGTTTCACAATTTAACTCAAAAAATTCAATAGAAGCAAACTGGGGAAGCACATGCTTCAAAATAGGAAGAGGTAAATGACCTAGTCTATTATGCCATCGCATTAACAGATGTGTATTGACATTACTATTCCTAACACTAGATTGATTTGCAACATAATAAGAAGTTGGCCTCGCGTTCAGCAAATACAAGCCATTGCCCTTACATCCACACACAGTGAGATGAAAAAAAGGTTACACTACAATTCAAGCCTTTTATAATTTGACTACAAAAAGGAGGTTCTTGGTAAACTCGGGGAAATGAAGAACAAAGGATAAGGTAAGATTAGGAGAGGCAGAAATAGTACCCTTCCCTGCAATGGATGTGAAGGTGTCATCAGCCACTCTAACCTTATCCTTACTAGAACACAAATTGTATGAAGAAAAATCAGATGCCATACCAGTCATGTGATCAGTGGCTCCTGAATCAATGATCTAGGGTGGCCTGCCAGATAATGTGGAAACCTAACGTGACGAATGAGAGGTACCTATCTGAGCGAAGTTAGAGGTGGAAATAGAGACATGTTGAGCTAGTATATATCGAAGAGCATCAAGTTCAGCCCCGGACAAAGAACTCGATAACCCTGAGGAGGCATGACCAGTAGAAGCAGTCTCACGCTCTGCAGTATATGCCGTAGATAACCCCTACAAGGGGCCAGGCCTTGGCCTAGCATTCGCATAAGCAGGAGCTGGAGTAGGGCGACCGTGTAGATTCTAGCATGTTTCCATAGTGTATCGCATACGCCCATAGTGATCACACCTCAACTTGCTCTTGTTATCTTGCTTCCCTCCCTTTGGAGGATTGGGTTTGTTCCATTGTTTCTGGCTCAGGCTTAATGTATACAAGTGCAGACATAGCCTTCATTCTACTCTCCTCAGCCTGGATATACGAAAACACATCTCTAATAGAAGTAGGGGTCGGATACCTGCCTAACACTTGTACCATGGAATACTCGTATCTCGGATGCAGACCACCCAAGAACTCATAGATTCGATTCCTTTCTACCATAGCATGAAATGCTTTAACATGAGCTAAACACACAGGTATGTAGTCTTGGTAGTGATCTAACTCTTTCCATTTACCACGTAGAGTGTGGTAATATGTAGCAAGATTTTTGGTCTTCCTACTTGAATCTTAAAATATGTTGTTGGAGTTCATACAATTTTGCAAAATTAGCAACTGAGGAATAGGTCTCTTCCACAGCCTTCCATAGCTCTTAGTTGTTTTCATAAATAGAAACCCTTTGCTGATTTGTGGCTACATTGACTACAATAACAACGTCACAACTAGTGCATTATTTGCACTCCACTCTTTGAATTCAGGATCACTCTTGGAGGGATACATGACAGTCCCTTTGATATGGTTGATCATCCCATGGCCAGTGAGGCTACTCCATATAGTTCGTCTCATCCAGCCTAACATTTGTAATACAAAGGCTTGGATGGTGATCACCACTACTTCTCAATACTAGAGATAGACTAGGAGAAGACCCAGCTTCTTTTGAAGCCACCTCTTAGCAAGACATTTTATCAAACAGTTTCTAGGTATACAATCCTCGGAAACAAAAATAGCAAACAAATCCCATCTTCGAATCTCTTCAAAACCATTAACACCCACTAGGGTTTACACAAACATGCCCTAGGGTTTCAACTACACACCTAGAGCTTTACAAACCATGCTCTGATACCATGTTGACTTTAAGAGATAATCAAATCAAGAGTAAAGTATAAGAAGAAGAAGAAAAAGAGAAGAAAGAGGAGGATAGAAAAAGAGAGAGGTGGGGAAAGAGAGTACTTTCATCCTTCCGCCACATTCTATTTATACTAATAAGTTTTAGAAATTACACATAACCACCCAACATTATATAAGTAATAACAAATAAGCCCCTGACAACAATTGCTTATGCTATGAACCAAATCATGCACTCTCCTTGCACCCCTCACCTTCATGCAGCTATTTAGATCCTTTGTAACCTAAAGAGGTGTCTGCGCTGTGGTATGTTTTTTTGCCAATCATGGATAAATGTTGATTATGCTAGATCAATTTCAAATAGGAGGTCACCTTCTGGCTAATATACTACTATTGGTGATAACTTGGTTACTTAGCACAGTAGGAAACAAGATATTATCTCCTAATTAAGTGTAGAGGCAAAGTATAAGGCTATGATTGAAAACGTTGATGACAGACTTGCAACTTCCAATGACACTTCCATTCTTACTTTACTGAAAATAAGTTTGCCATTAGCACTGCAGCAAATTACGTTCAGCATGACAGGATTAAGTATATAAAGGTTGGCCAAAACTTCGTTCGAGAGAAGATCATTTATGTTCAAATTTGCACTCTATTTGTCCCTACCTCTCAAGAACTTGCGGACAATGTTATGAAGGGTGTCAGCAAGACTATGTTTGAGAATTCATTGTCCAGGTTAGACGTCTCTGATATCCATGCACCAACTTGGGGGGGGGGGGGGGGGGTATTATTTGAGATATGTGAGCCTAGAATCACGGGATTTGATTTACATATTACCCAAGATATGTTAAGAGTAAAATAATTGAATTTGACTTTTTTTATGCATATATTTAGACATAGAATATGCGGTGATTTTATTTGGTTTCTTTTCTACTAATATTTTACATGTGATTTTTTAATATATAAATACCAGAGCGATGAATGAGGAAGGTCACACCCCCTCATCTTTTTGTACCAGAGCTCTAAATGAGTGATTATTCTCATTCAAGCCTTTATATAATTCTCTTGTATTTATTCTATGTGACATCCATCAATATTCATATCTATGATATAGTATAAATAAAAGAAATGAGGCTACTGTTACCTGAAAGAGACTGAGATGGATGAGATAGAGAACTAACTGAGGCCAGCCAAACCAAAAATGCTTATCAGAGACTTGCACAAGAGGTATGCCTTGAACAACAGCATGTCTTTCTTGGATTTCCACAGCCATCCGCGTTATAATAGCTTGAAGCTTCGTTCCAATCGCTAAAATAATCTTTAACCAACCCGATGATTAGTTTTTTTATTTTCTTGAATGAAAGCCTTATAACAAGAGGTCATACCAAAAAAGGAAAAGTATCTTACAGTTGGAGGCCATATGGATAGACAAGACATAAACCACGAGCCTGCAAGAAATGAAATGGATTAATTAACGAATAGCAAATCTTATTTTAGAATTTAAAAGCAAAATATGTATATTGACTAAAATGTCAATAGAAAAACTAACTCCATCACCAAAATAAAGAAGGAAAAGAAAATATAATCACCGTCAACATCAAGAAGCAGATAGACGACCGCAGAAGCCCATAATATCGGACTGACAGTTGCAGAATGATAAGCAGGCACATTAGAGCATTGTCTTAAAATTTCTAATAGAACTGCACCTAGTAAGACTACAGACACTAAGGGACTGAATAATACCTGATTCCCACAACTATCTTGAAGTCGTCTTCTAATGACCTTTTGATATATTTTTGGAAGTTAAACTTACTTCCAGCAGCTAAATGAACCTAAATAAAAAAGAATAACTAATCCTAATTCTCTGGTCATAACATAATCAATCAATCAATTGACAAAATTCAAATACTGTTAAAATGCTAAAATTAATTTCTTATCAAAGAGCAAATAGAAAATTTATAAAAATACAAACACAATTCTTGAAGGCTTGCACTTGAAAAACTCACAGAGACGAATCCATGGCGCATGGTCAGGTAGTCAGCTCGACGAACAGACTTGAAGAATTGTCTAAAGAAGCATGCCTGAAATAATTGAATTAATTAAGCACCTATATTTCTAAAAGAAATGAAAAAGAACAAACCTATCTGCATCAAGAACACATTGGGTGCATAGTTATGGTGCAAAACCGAACAAATCAACAAACTAGAAAGATGCTTAACAGTGTTTGTGTAGTAAGAGTTGGACCTCTAATAAGATTGCCTGGACCTGAATTCAAAAGTATTTATGTGTGTAAAGAATACCATTTAGAACATTTGGAAATACTTTCTCAATAAAAGGGCGCTTTTCGAGTAAGAAAGTGTGTCAATAATTTGTTAATTTTAATCCATTTGACCATATAAGCTGAATTTATATTTAATAAATAATGGAGCTTCATTGTGTTATACTCTACAAGGTTACTGTTGAAGGATTTAAATATTAAAGTTACACCCCCTCTAATAGCTTAAGTTTTTAGAGCAGATGGTAATTAAAATGGTATCACAGCAGTCAAGGTCCTATGTTCAAACCTCACCATCACCCTGATTATTAAAATTGAAACATTTGTTAGACCAAAAGAAGGCCACACATAAGGGACTACACTTTCTAAATGAAGTTTTGCACTTTGAGATTCCAAAAGTTTAAAGCAGAACAGTCATAAAGCCAGCTAGAAGCCTGCAATTGGAATAATTACTTAATAAGCACAAAGAATTGTTACAATATTTTTGAATGTTACACAAGACATTTTAGTAGTGAAACATAGCAGACTTTAGTAATGAAAAATATTCATCTTCAATTTTTCGAGATATCATGATCCAGTTTGGAATCAAGTGTATACAAATATTAAGGAATGAGAAAGCGTAAATTTTTAAATATTAGTATACCATCACTTTATTGCACCAAATTCATTATGTCAGTGAAGAATGAACAAATCAGCAACGTCTTTCATCTTTCTTACAATATAAAAGAAGAATGGTGTTTTGGTCCAGAAATTGGTGTGCCTTTTTACAAATGACGTCTCATGGACAAACCTGAATCTTGTAGCATCTGCATGATAGGCATACAAAACACAAAATCCAGCATTGAAATATATTAGAAGTAAATGCAACAATTCAATAACACCAGTGAATTCCCAGTTGTGAGGAGAACAACTTTAAAGGAGAAGAAAACATTAAATCATTGTTGTCATGTAACAAAATACCATTTTCATCGTCATTAAGAATTTCCCGCTCCCATTCCTTCCATCTACGAATCTGCATATAAAAAATTCTTAAATAAAATTTAAGGGGAACAAAAATCTTAAAGGAAAGTTGAGTATGGATTGTGTCCTAAAGGCATGGATATGGACACGGACACCGCAAATCTAAAAAAATTAGGATAGGGACACATCAAGGATACGACAATGAATCTACTTTTTAAATTAAAATATATCGTATACTACAAATAAATATTTCAACTGTAAAATGAAGTTTTGAACTTACATATTCTATAATTATAATAACCTTGGTCACATATAGGAATATATAATATGCCATGATATATTTCTGTATCCATGTATTTATACATGTATGTAGATGTGTATATACACATGTTTATACATAATTTGATGACTCCTATCCTAGCAGTATGTTCACTCCTTCAATAAAGGCTTATGTTCCTATACTTTAAAATATGGTCAAACTTTATACAAGTTTTATATAAACCATTAATTGAATTTTCTTAAAATTATATTTTCCCAATGTTAAAATAAAGACTTATCCCATGTTCATGGTTCACTAGTCACGTGTTAGTACATATTCGAGAAGTGTCAGCCGTGTGTCCGAAATCATGGATGTATACAGTGGCGAACCAGAGATTTTCATTTGGAGTGGCCAAATCAGTTAGTATGATAATAAAATTTGAAAAATATAAATTGTATTGTTTCTGTCTTTGAAATTGAAATCTTGGTATATATTACTCCCCAATGGGGTAAATGGAAATTAATGTGTGTGATTACACACACACACACAAATAAATAATAAATAAAAAGAAAACTCCGTACATAATCTTAATATAAATGAAGATAGGTTTGAACAACCCTCTCAACGTAGCTTGTCTAATCTTTTTGTATATATATTATTTATATCTTAAACGGGTTGCTAATAAACCTTAGAAAAGTAAAAGAAGAAACATAAAATGAAGTTATACGATTTCAAATTTTGAGTTCTGACAAAAATAAAGAGATTAATGCCAAATAGTTATACAAAAAACTACAGTTTTGTTCAATTCCTAGGTCCAAACATCTAACATATACAGCTTTTCTTTATTCATCCCAAATTCCAAGCACTTGGACATTATAACATCATGAGAGCCAGGTTGTGGTACTCTTATGTTTTTCAATCTCAACCTTTTGCTTTTAAAAATGCCATGTCCTTTCTATATCGTCACTAGGACCATAAAACGTTACATACATAATCCATAATTGATTACTAGAAAAATTATTTGATTGACTGATTAAAATGCTTAATTGCAATGCTAGAAGGAATATTGCAAAAACTATTTCTCTATGCACTTTGTTTTGAGAGCACTATAGGTATTATCAAGGAAAATGGTCAAATAGGAAGAAAAAAAAAAAAAAAAAAGACTTGAAGGTCCCAAGACATTACCAGATGATTAGTTATATATTACCCTGGATACAATTTCTTAAGGGCCTAAATAAAGATATACTATATATGAGATTATACAAACTTGTAATTACAAATAGTATTGCTGACTTTAAGATATAATCAAATCAAGAGTAAGTGATAAAGAAGAAAAAGAAAAAGATAAGAAAACGGATGAGAGAAAAAGAGAGAGAGATGGGGAAAGAGAGAAAGAATGAAGGAATACTTTCATCCTTCCACCACATTCTATTTATAATAACAAGTTTTAGAAATTACACATAAGCCCTAACATTACATAAGTAATAACAAATAAGCCCCTGACAGCACTCCCCCTTAAGCTGGTGCAAATATATCTATCATGCCCAGCTTGCCTAACATATTTTGCAAGCAAGTCTTGCTCACACCATTAGTCAAAACATTAACAACCTAATCATGTGTGCTGACGTATAGAGTACAAATCAGCCCAAGAGGAAGCTTTTCCTTGATGAACTGTCGATCGACTTCAATGTGCTTTGTCCTGTCATGTTGAACTGGATTGTGAGCAATGCTAATAGTAGCCTTGTTGTCACAATACAACTTCATTAACTCGCAAACAGGATAACCCAACTCACCTAACATCATACGTAGCCATAACAACTAACAAAATCCATGTGCCATGGATTTGAACTCAGCTTCTGCACTAGATCTAGCTACTACATACTATTTCTTGCTTCGCTATGAAACAAGACAAACTCCAACAAATGTGCAATATCCTGAAGTAGATTGTCGATCTCACAGACCTTGCCAAATCAGCATCAGTATAGGCTTCAACACGCAAGTGGCCATGACTACCAAACAATATACCCTTACCAGGTAAACCCTTGAGGTAGCGAAGAACATGATGAGCTGCCTCAAGGTGAGGTGCACGTAGAGCATGCATAAACTGGCTAATCACACAAACAGCGTAGGCAATATCTGAGCACGTGAGAGATAAGTAAATCAGTCTCCCAACCAATCGCTAAAATCTTCCTGTAATAATTCTCATTTTCCCTATTTTCCATTTTTTTGGGATTTTTCGATTTTTTTGGATTATTTTATTCATTGCCTCGTTTTGCATGCCGGACACCATAAGAGGTGCTGGGTGAGTTTCGAGTGAGTTCCAAGATTTAGTTGGGCATTTCTTCAAGTTCGGGACTCTTAGAAATGCATTGTTAGTCATTTTGACATTTTTCAGTTTTTTAGGCCAGGAGGTCCCGAGTGGGACCCGCAACCGAATTTGTTGTGCACAGGGATTATTTTTTTGGGACCGTTGAGTTTCATACATTATATTTGATGTATATTTATGTGACTATGTGTTTAAATGTGTGGTTGTAGTGTGTTTAGTGTATGTACATGTGCATAGATATTTTGTTTATCACGTGGGACCCGCTGTTGATTTAGTTATTACTAATGACCATTTGGTCATTACATGACAATGATGACAATCTCCTTCGATTTCCTTCTTCCTTCGCCATCTATATCCCTCTCTCTGCTATTTTCTTTTTTATTTTTCTTCTTCCAAATTCAAGCCTAGATCTACACTTTTCCACTTGGATTTTGGCTTTGCCACTGAAAGCAAAGTCAACCAGCACGACGAGAGCTTCGATTTGATCGCAGCAAAGTCTCGTTTGGAGCACCTTTGGATTTGTCGAATTTTGGGAATTATTGGGGCTTTTCTTCAATTTCTTGAGGTAGGGGTTTCTAAGGCTCATTTCTTTGATTTTGGTGAATTATTCCTCTTTAATTTGGTCAAAAGCATGCTTAATTTGTATATTTTAATTGTGGTAATTAGGGTTTGTATATGTGAAATGTGATATTGGTAATTATGTGATAAGTGAATTGATATACATGCCTACTTGAATTGATATACATGCCTAATTGAATTGTGGTAAAAAATGCATGCTTGATTTGAATAATGATATGCCTAAAATGTTTATATGTTATGATGTGAAGTTAATAGTGTGAAAGTTAATGTACTAGATATATTTTAATTGTGCAAACTTGAGCATGTTGTAATGTATGGGATTACATGTTGGCATAGTGATGGCATTATTGAGACATTCATACATGGACATTGGGCATGAATGGGGAATTGATTTTGAAAAGAAACAAAACTTATTTTGGGGATTAGATTTGAAAAGTGGTTTGCGAAAACTCGAGCGCCTAGGAGCTACCTAGTGGTCCGTGGCGTTAATGTAATCTAGAGGGAATTAAGGAGGGACCCTAGCGTGGTTGAGCTACCTAGGCCCCAAAAGACGCCCTGGATTTGCCTTGTGGTCAGGGATTGTTAGCCAATCCTTCTCTTGTGGTGCCATAGAGCTGCCATGGGAGCTATTATAGCCGGGTTGCATTAACAGTTTGGAATGGAAAAACGGAAAAGTTTTGGAAATATAGAGCGACATTAACATATCTTTGCATCCCATTAGCATGGCATGGCTTATTTATGGTTTAGTTGATGTTGTTGTTGTTGTATCTGTTGTCGGGGACTTATTTGTTATTACTTATATAATGTTAGGGCTTATGTGTAATTTCTGAAACTTGTTATTATAAATAGAATGTGGTGGAAGGATAAAAGTATTCTTTCATTCTTTCTCTCTCATCCGCTTTCTTCTCTTTTTCTTCTTATTCTTTATCATTTACTTTTAATTTGATTATATCTTAAACTCAACATGATATCAGAGCATGGTTTGTAAAGCTCTAGGTTTGTAATTGAAACCCTAGGGCAAGTTTGTGAAAACCCTAGTGGGTGTGGAGGGTTTTGAAGAGATTTCAAGATGGGATTTGTTTGCAAGGAAGTAGTGTTAATCACATCCACACGTACCACGGATCCAACTTGGCTTTATTTAATGAAAACCAAAGATGAAGTTCATTCCATTTTTAAAACCTTTCATAGATGGTATGTACTCAGTTTGGTGTCCACTCAAAATCCTTCGATCTGATAATGGATGAGAGTTTATGTATGGTGGTCTTGCCTTCTTTTTTACTGATAACGAGATTGCCATCAAACCTCTTGTGTCGATACACCACAACAGAATGGTGTAGCTGAAAGAAAACACCGTCATATTACGGAGGTGACCCGTTCTCTTTTAATTAGGATGGGAGTGCCTAAAAGTTATTAGGCTGATGCAACCTTAACAGCTACATACCTTATCAATTGCATGCCTTCTAAGGTTCTTGGCTATCAATCCCACTTCTCTGTCTACCACCATGACACTGCCTTGTTTACTGTCCCTCCAAAAGTGTTTGGTTGTGTTTGTTATGTTCACATTCATCATCACAAGGACAAAATGGACTCTAAGGCAATCCGATGTGTCTTTCTTGGATACTTCGCCACTCAGAAAAGGTATCGGTGTTATAACCCTACCACACGTCATCGGTTTGTCTCCATAGATGTTACATTCTTTGAGTCTGTTCCATTTTTTTTCCACTACTTGGGATTCTCTACAATGGGAGACTACTATACAGGTAGAGAATCCGTTGTCCATTCAGAGGGAATGCCCCCTTCCTTTACCTGTTCCCATTCAGGGGGAGCATCTTACTGAGGTGCCTATATCTAGTCCTCCTAACACTAATGATTTGCAGCAGGGAAAGCA